GAGAGAGAGAGAGAGAGAGAGAGAGAGAGAGAGAGAGAGAGAGAGAGAGAGAGAGAGAGAGAGAGAGAGGACAGTCAATCCCTCCCTTTCGCATCAGAAGGGAGGTAATCAATATTGTTTTCGAGTAGCAGTCGAGAACGTGCTTTGGTCGAAGATGGATGCAGTTAGCTTAACTTAGCTATGCACTGGCTTTTTTTCCAGTGCTATCATTGAGAAAGTTTTTTAAGTGCTTTATCGCTCTCTGTATGTGGCGGATGACGGAGATGGATAATCACACCCATGCGTGCATCATCAGATGTGGCACTAGCAATCGTTGTGATATCTTTTTCGGTGGTGTATCGCTCTTTGTATCTGGCTTTATGCATGTCTCACAATCTTTCTTTTGTTTTTGTTTTCATGAACTATTTTACATATGTTTTTCTTTATACGTTTGCTTACATTACACACGTCATGATAAGCACGCCGTGAGCAAGACAACACATGAGAACTACATGTTCTATAATTAGCAATAACAATAAAAAAGGAACTTGCGCGGATCTTCAAACGATCGACCATAATCACAAACATTATGAGTGACAATCTTCAAACGATAGAACATAATCACAAACATTAGGAGTCACAATCTTCAACGTAGTCAAAAACGAACTCGCGCGAATTGGAGTTAAATGAGGCAGAAGTTCATATCCGATAATTAAATTTTTCTTTAACCATTAACCCCAGCTCATCTGCGACGCTTAAACAATTCCCCCGCTTCATTTCTGCATACGCCCCATACCAACGGGCAACTCCCCCCCGCCCCCTCCACCCCACCCCCTCCTCCCACTGCGCTAGAAAATCCACCCCACACCCCCCCATGCGCTAATTAATCGGCAGGATCGATCCTTACACAAGCGACGACAAACCGTAAACAAGCCACACGTGGCACCCGGGCGACGCAAGGTCCCGAAATGCAGCCCCGTCGGGAACCCTAACGTCGCTAACACAACTCCCTATCCCATGTGCATGCGCAGAACATCACGCAGAGTGAGGGCAGCCTCCGTGGTGTTTGCCTGGCAGACGGGCCGCGACAAATCCTGCAAACCCAGATCGATGGGGACGGGGTTCCCATCCCGGTCGAGGTCTAGCAACAAACCCTCATCGAATGCGACCATGACCTCGAGCAGGAGGTTGTGGATGATGCAGATCGCAACGAATTGCTGCGGGAGGTTATTCATATTCGTCTTGTGATGAAGAAGGAATAACCTCCACATCCCCTTCAGTCGTCCGAACACTCTCTCCACGACCCCTCTCGTATTCTTCTGAAGCATGCCGAACAGTGCCCCGTATGGGATGACAATCCACGTCTGCGGCGCGTAACCGTTGTCCCCAAGCAGGTACCCCGTCATCCACACCCCTCCCGAGAGGACGATGGGGTCCTCATTGAAGATCGCACCCGATTCTGCTCGCCTGATGAGTGAAGAGTTCTGCAGCATGCGCTGGTCGTGGATGCACCCAGGATAACCGACGAAGAGGTCGATTATCCGCATGTCGTGGTCGACGACAGCCTGTGCCACGGCTGAGAACTGCTGCTTCCGATCAAAGTAGTTATCGGACGGCGCGTTCGCAGGCTTGTCCACATAAATGTGGGTGCAGTCAATGGCGCCGAAGCAATTCGGGAAACCTTTCCCGCTGAAAGCTCGAAGGACCTGTACGAGACGACGACTGGATGGAATTGCGATCTTCTCCAAATACGCGGCCAAGATGGCAGTTGTCACATCTTGGACGGCCTTGATACCTGAACACCTCCCTATGCCGAACGGTGGCGTGCTGCTCTCAAATGTCTCTCCAGACGCCCACCGATACAATGCGCACGCCACTATATGGTCGGGCTGCAATGGCTCTCGATAGTGAGTTAGCGTGCAATGAAGGAAAGGACAGCATGCCGCCACTATGTCATTGAAGACCGTCCCCGCCATCTGCAGCTTGTCATGGCAATACTCGTCAGTTGCATCATGGGCGATGGTGAGGTCCCTCCATGTGCCACCTGTCCTTCTTTTCACCCACCACCTCGGTGTCTTCCTCGGCATCACACTCGCCATGATGGCATCCCACAACAGGACCGGCGCATCCCATAGACCTGGCGAGGAGTGCACGTCCATCAAAGCCTGGGCTATGGCGGCCTCCCGTCTGCCAAGGTCTCTTCCGCTGGCCCGCCGCAGGTCGTTCACCGTCTGCATGTGCCAAGAAACTGCAAACTGCAAGCAATGCCGTTCCTAACAGCGACCTCTCCCTAGGTGTCAGCCTCCGCGCCCCTGCCGCATCGCCCATCCCGTTTTCCATCGCTGCGAACAAACCGCGACCACGCGCAAAGCTCGCTTGCGGGCTGGCGGGATATGGCGAGCAAAGTCCGAAGGCGGAAGGGCGCGCAAAGCTCAATTGCGGGCTGGCGGGCTATGGCGAGCACAGTCCCAAGGATCAAGGGTGCTGCCGATGCAGGTCCGCGTGAATTCAAATTCAAACTCGCTCCGCCGCGCGCATTTTTCACTGCGATGGCTCCCGCCTTCGTGCGCCCGGTAGGCTGCCCACCCAAACGCTGGTGTCCCGGAAATTGCATATCCCGCAGGCCCGTGGGCATGGACAACTTCTTGTCCCCCGAACCGCCTTCACGGACATCCGTGGCCGACAGGCCGAGAATCTGACAACAGCCCCTCCTCACCTCATATGTGTAAGGGCGAGCAAGTGTAGGGTGTTGTGGAAAGAAAAAACAAGTCAGGGTAAATTAATCACCCTCGGCAAGTTAGGGCTCCCTTACAAAGTGAGGATTTTCTAGTGGTGTGGAACGAGGCCCTGAGGAGCACTTTTCCCTTTATGTACTAGGTACATTATCAAAGGTGAGGCAGGGATAACTCGGACATCTCAACCCCCACAAAAAAACTGGAGCTGTTACCCAGGTGTTTTTTTTTTTTTTTTTGCCCAAAGGAGAACAAGACGAGTTCATGCTAGGGGTGCAGGTCGGAGCAGGCAGCACTAGCACTCCTGGTGCTAGGTCCCACTTACACTAATTAAGCGATATTGACCGTAGATAGCAAAGATCAATTGCCAGAATCTCTTAATCCGTGAAAGTGGGACCTTCTCCCCGGGGAGGATCCATCTATTGGTGGGGACCACCACCTAGCTGGAAAGCGGGTCCAGCATCCCTGAACGATCTGATTGAACGTTTAAACCACCAGTACTTGGCCCAGCTATGGCAGCCGAGCCTGGAAGTGCACTGCGCGCCGTTTCCCGCCGAAAAGCCAATTCGATTTTGGTTTTCGGAAAGGCTGGCGGCGCCAGCTTCCAGGTCCGGTTGCCCGAGGCGCGAACTTCGCATACCGTTAACGCTAAGGCCCGCGGCCGATACTGGTGGTTTAAGCAAACTAGCGGCTGCAGTGTAAAGACTGTTAGCTCCAGGGCCCACCTAYGGAAAACAGATTATGACGCCTATGTTGATAGCGTACATGATAACACAGGTAAGTGATAGCATACACCAGTCCCGTGACCGCTTGTAAAAGGACTCTGCTTGTGCCGTTTTTCCCAGCTTGAATGCCTTTGTGTTTTCTGCTCCCGTTTGTGACTGTAATTAATTCCCTACATGACAGCACTTGGCTAGTGATAATATACACCACTGTAACCGCACTCCACTCCCTCTTGGCTGTTGGTGCTATCACTTATGTTTGATCCCCAGGCCGTTACCCAGCTTAGGCTAGTGCTGGAAACGGGGTTCGGCCTCCCAAACTGCAAACTGACTAGATGATGCTTATCAGCAGCTCATGGGTACATCTGAAGTATCGACCCTGATAGGCATAATAATCAAGCTATGAATGTCAGCCATGATGATTCTGACTGACAACTCAACCTGCTACAGCACGACCTTAGCAGCCACTTCCACGGGGCCTGACGCTCCCACATTGCTAGGGGTCACAGGGCGGCACAACTCAGGCCAGCGAGCTACCGGTGTTGGCTGGCCCTGGCCATCCTCCTCAGGGCATTGAAAGTGAGGGCAACGGAACTGGAACCCACTACCTACGTGGTGCTGCTCAGGCATGAACCCTACTAGTCAGCTGGCGGTCGGAGGATAGCAGGGTATGCTAGTAGTAAGGTTAGGCAGCTGTGTGCGAGTTTAAAATGGACAACCAAGTGGCAGTTGCCAGCCAACGCCAAGTTGAGTAATGCTCTCACT